TTTATTAACAATCAAATGAATAAAAAATTTAATAGATTTGATACTTCCATGGTCCTAACAAAAACAAAGAAAGAAGGGGTCAAGTCAAATAGTCTTCTTCACAATCTACATACTGTGGCTAGGAATGTGGTACAAGGAATTCCCGGCATCTCGTAGAAAAAGAGTATAAACAAACAAAAGGCTTTTTAGAATTTTATTTTTTATCATAGATAATCATAACTTTACCTTCAACAAGCGTAGATTTTTTTCTTTTTTTCCCCATCACGAATCATGTGTATTTCTCGTAAGACTGAGATTAATAAAAAAAAGTCAAATCGCACCATCTCTGTAATAGGTAAATGCCTCTTTTTCTCCTGAAGTTGTCGGAATTATTCGTAATAAGGACTTGAATTCATGTCCTGTCATTAAATTCCTCCTGATTTATTAGAACTAAAAGAATTCCATTTAAGCATCTCATTGCTTTAGTTGAAAGATTCCATTTGAATATTCACCTATTGTCCATCGACTACGCCTTTCGGCCTGATCTTAGGCCCTGACTCACCCTCCGTGGACGAACCTTGCGGAGGAACCCTTAGGTTTTCGGGGCATTGGATTCTCACCAATGTTTGCGTTACTCAAGCCGACATTCTCGCTTCCGCTTCGTCCACTACCGCTCGCGCGGGTGCTTCACTCTAAGGCGGAACGCTCCCCTACATCGATTTTAGTAAATAACCAAATATGATACTTGGGCTAAGCGTCAAGTTGGTTATTTTTCTTACATCTCCTCCTCCCGGAGCCCAAGTATCATATACGCCCCCAAAATAAAGAGCCTTGAATACTAGAAGCGAGGTCTATGGGATCATATGGATGCGCGAACTGCTACTTTTCCAATACGAGATATTCATCCTAGTCACTATGGGCGTATTTGCCCAATTGACCAATTGGTTTCAGACTTGGTACAACCCAAGGTCATCATTCCCTTTGGTTCGCACAACCAAAAAATTATTCTGAGGGTCTGCAAGAAGATAAACAATTTATAATACAATTGAAACAAAGTTGATTCAAGAGTTTTGTTAAACACCTTACTTACAACAAAACCTTTATGAAGAAACCATTTATATTTGCCAAAAAAATAATTGAACTTATATAAAAAGATTGGATAGAAAATCCAAAAATAGTTCAACATCTTCATGGCTCAACATGTTGGACCATGTTACTCCATGTTGCTCCAAACCACCTTTTGGAAGATCCATTCTTTTGTCACTTGATCTCTGAATCCCAAATAATACATTGAGTTCTAAGTGCTCCATTAAACTCAATTACTCCATGAAAATGCTTCAAATGCTCAAGCCACATTTAACACTACATATTTAAATGTTATACAACTGCAATTAAATGACATTTCCTTTTTGTTAACTTTAACTTGAATTGGAATCCTTCAAAATTTTATCCTAGTCATACTATCAATTCCATCTTCATTCGGATATTGCTCTCAAAAATAATATGTGTTTGTCTTAAACAACGTAGATATCATAAACATCATCAATTGTTTTATTTATTTGAGACTAAGATATCAAAGAATAGTCTACGAATATAATAATGTCTCAAGCAAAATAAATCCTTAAACCACTTGTTATCATATAATTAGTAGTCATCTACGAATAAGTTCCATCCTTCTTTAAAATGAATCCGATTAATCTTAAAATTCTAAATAAGAGAACTCTCTCTCCTTTTGAATTCAAAATTGTTATATAGATCCCAATAAACTTATATGAACTAAGAAATATCAAAATTAACACTGTTATATATCGATATATGAACTAAGAATGTAAATATATTTATTGACATGAATATTGTAATAGTTCTATAATGAATGCTTGTTTGTAAAATTAATACATCATTTCGAATATACAAATTTCATCATAGACCTAACAACGTAAATCTATTTATTGACATCATTTTCTCAATTAAAAATTCTTATAAAAACTAATAAATATAATCTATTTTTTGACATATGTATTATAATAATTCTATAATAAATGATTGTACCTACAATTAAGGAATTATGTTAGAATACACAAAAATTATTACAAAATAATATATATTATATTAAAAAAAAACATGTAATTGTATACGATAGTAACAACAATGCTTAAGCAGGGTTAACCCACACAGTGGGCAACCCGGGCGATCGCCCAAAGCCCATGTTTTTAAGGGCCGAAAATATTTGTATATTTCTATATATTTAAAAAAAATTGTACAATTTCCCAAATCCAAATTTAACCCAAACTGAAATTAGCACAAGAAAATAAAGCAATTATCTTGATCGATGATTGATGAACGTGTGTCTGGGAAGGGTAGGAACAGATGAAGATCCAAATTGGAAATTAGAATTGAATCGAATCGACATCATAGATAGCTGAATCGACATCTACATCTGGCAAGATATTGTGCATTGTCGACATCTTGATGCTGCTTGCGGCCTCGACATCATAACTCACAAACATATTCAAGTATCACCTCTTTTCTCCTTCAGACTCTGCTTCTCACTCTCGTTTCTCTCAGACTCTCGCAATTTCTCATTCCTCTTCTGCCTCTCAATCTCGATTCTTGAACACACCATCCCCTTTTGACTTTATGTTGATTTCTAAATCGTTAGGACTTATGTAGATGACTTTAAGGTATGTTTTTTGTTTCTGAAAACATACAAATTTGTATATCAGTTTTATTTTTTTGTTTTTTTTATTTTATTTAGCTTCTCATGTAAGTTTGTATATCGGATTTCTTTTTCTTGAAGATTATAATTGTCATATTTGATTGTTGTTTTTAAATCAGATTTCCAAATGTGATTATGTTTTAGATTTTTCACCCATCAAACTAAAATGTTTATAGAATATATATGTTTGTATGTTATTGTATAATTAGTAGTTTTATGTTCCAAATATTTATTTTCTCTAATTTGATTTTTTCAGTCTCAGCTCTGAATATTAGATTTCTTACTTGATAAGGTAACATTTTAATAAAAATTTTATGTTATCATATTTTTTTTTTATTTTGTTTTATCTATAATTTTTATGACTTTTTTATCTTTTAGTTTTTAGTTTGCGTTTGTATCATACTTCCACAAATTTGAGATAGAAATATGGTGTATTGATTTCCTAAAGAAATCTTTAGTTAATGATAATGGTGAAAAATTTCCTAAAGTTTACTATTAATGACAATGTATTTAATGTATGATGTTGATTCAAGTGATTTTTTTCATTGAAATTAAAATGTTAACAAATGATTTTGTCATGCAGTTGAATTTTTTATTATATTTATGTTTATGACGCTTTTTTTTAATTATTTTTGTTATTTTTGTATTTTTTTTTCAAATATTAATTATATTTGATTTTAAGGGTGTCTTTATACTTATCGCCGTGGGTCAAATAAATGTTTGGACCGGTCCTGTGTTTAATGTGGTAAGTTGTACACAACCATTTCGGTTTTATATATTCCTTCTATGAGAAAATAGCGACGAAGGGAACAATTGCTATTAACTTTGCGTGATGTATGCTTCTCTGAATGGACAACCTCATGATCCATTGATTTCGTAAGTTTTTGGTGTGTAAAGTAATTGATACTTGAGATAATGGTGCTCGAAAACTAAATTTGACACCATCTTTTGTTTTTTACCGTATCAACCTGAGGTTCTATTTATTACGGAGATGATCCCTATAGTATAATTACCTATTGAAAATTTTAAATTACTTGTTAATTTTTATCTCTCTCTCTCTTTCTCTCTCTAGTTTCTTTTACATTTTTTAGTTAAAAATTAACAAGTAATTTAAAATTTTCACATAGGTAATTAAACTATAGGGACCATCTTTGTATAACCTTAGGTTGATATGGTAAAAAACAATTAGACTTAAAATGTAACTTTATACAAATACAAGGACCATTTCTGTAATTTATTCTATTTCTAATAGCATTATTCCGTGACCACCCGAATTGAGATTTATGGTCACCTGTCATATTTATATAAGTTTCATTATATCTTTTTCAGGCGCTATTCATGGATTTCGTTTGGTTGGCCAAGAAATCATGCATTTGGTTCCACCCAAGATGTTGGACATTTACCTATTAATATTTGTAGTTGATATATTTAATTTAATTCTTGAAATCTTTTATTTAGAATTAATGTAGCAGTGTTATTGGTTAAGTTGAAACAATATTGATATAAAATAAAATAATAATTAACTAAATATATAAAGTCGGTTTTCATTTTGGTTTCTCGATTCAAGATTGTTTCAAGCCATTGTTACAATAAAATGTTATAACAACGGTCATCTGATATCCTTTCACAAACGTCACATTATATAAGCTTACTCTATTTTTATTAAAACATTTGAAATTTTAGGATTCCACTTTCTGCCATTAAAACATAAAATTCATATGGACAATTGATCCATGTTGAAACTTCTAAATTTTTATTTTTTTAACATAAAATTTTCACTTTAAATTTTTATATCATATAGTTTACTTGATAAATGTTCCATTCGTTCACAGTTCTAGTTGAACTAAGTTCACTTACTCATACAAATTAGATAATTGAGCTGTGAGATCGTATTTAGGAACTAAGTTCACTTACTCATACAAATTAGATAATTGAGCTGTGAGATCGTATTTAGGAATATGAAACGAGGGTTCATTCGTACACAACAACTTTTATTCATACACAACAATTGGTGCTTTAAAATATTGTATTGTACAACTATATAATGCATAAATTGTTATGTATGACAAAAAACTGTTGTATATGAATCACTTCCCATATGAAATAATCGAAATAAAGTTTCCATATTCTGATGTCAACTGGGTTAGAAATTCCTCAAAATACTTTTTTTTACCAACCATAAGGACCATTTGGGTAGTTTTTGTCTTTATTTTATAATTTAGTCCTTAAATACCTGTAATTTGCCAAACATTCAACACCACTAAAAGTGATTATTACAATTTATAACTTCAAAAGCAGCAAAGACCAATCCGAACATAATCCTTTATTATATGATATGCTTTATTACACATAATTGTATCTAATTATGACCATATACAACCTCACAAAATCACTTACAAAATCCAATAATACCCAACAAAATTTGTCACTAAAACTAATCAATAATATTCTCATTGGTGGTGAACATAATCTTATTTAAATCGTGGTAAAAAAAATTTTAAAAATGTATCCGATCAGTGACGATGACAAAATGCACCGATTTATGAAAACTTTACTAAAACAATTTTCTAATTATCAAAAAACTTTCCTAATTAAAGCATTTGAACCCAGGGCAGATTGAGAGAACAATGATTAAAATCAAAGCAATGATGATTCCAAAAACTATAAGTTTCACTTTCATATTCTGAAACCACATCTTTCTCTTCATCTTTGTTCCTTGTTTCTTAAAATCTTGTGCCTGAAACATCGTACCAAATCAAAAACTTAATCTTGTATTATCAAACATATATTTTTTTTTGTCTGCAAAAGAGGTTAGAATATATATATATATATATATATATATATATATATATATATATATATATATATATATATATATATATATATGTCATTTTTTAGTTATATTTTTGGTTCCTGTGTATACTGATTTTTATTTTTTTGGTTCCAAAATGTTTTCTCTTGCAATTTTAATCCTTATTTGAGGTTTTTGTAACATATTTGGTATATGTTTCAAATAAATGACTATATTTTTTGGACCAAAATTGCAAAAATCAATTACACTTAGGGAGCACGATAGTCCTTTTATTTAAAAGAGACAAAAAACGTTACAAAAACCTCAAATAGAGGGAAAAAATGCAAGAGAACTTTTTTGAACGAAAATTGAAAATTAGCTATACTCAGGCCCAAAAATGTAATTTACTCTTTCTTATGTTTTTATCAAGTCATACTTTGAAAAAATCTCTCCAGTTGTAGCATTGTATTTTCATATTTGGATGACATTGATATACATGAGTAATTTTTCTTTCTTTTCCAAATACAATGTTATAATAGGAAGAAATGAAAGTAAGATGCTACAAGCAACAAATTAGTGAAAGTAGTTTGTTATTTCTTGCATTTACCCTTCTTTTATATATATATATATATATATATATATATATATATATATATATATATATATATATATATATATATTACTTCTTTAAAACATGAGAAACACGTCTGAACATTATATTGTGCAACCTATTTTGTTATTTATTGTCATAAAAATCACTTTTAAAACTATGAGATTTAGCATCCAAAGTAAATTGTTATTTTAGACATACCTGATTGCGAAGATTGTCGGTTTTATCAACTAGTAGTTCAATCTTTTCACCACGATCAAGAACCTGAACAAGAAGACAAATATTATTCAATCCAAACGTAGTTCACAATTACATGTTTAAAATAATAACGTGCTAAATGCAACACATTTAAATGTATTTTCTTTTCTTTTTTATTATAGTATTGTACTTTCACATTTTCCTTCTTAATGCAATGCAACTAATTCCAAATTATTTCTTATTATGACATTTCATTTTGACAAATCTACTTATTGTAACAACGTGGTAACCAGTTTAAAAGGTTGCTCTTTATTTGCATTTATAACCTAATGTTATGCTAAAAAAGCCAAGTTACCTTCTCAATATTCTCCATCATCACTCCCTTGACTTCAGAAACTTGAGCCTTGACCTTAGCAACCTTGCTGATCTCTTCAGGATGAGAGATACAGTAACGCATATGCTCCTTCATTTTGGATCTAAAAAACATCAAAAAGATCAGAACTCAAAAACATTCATCAAAAGATAAATACACCGATATGTATATAGGATATATGTGCTTAAATAAGTACCCAAACTCTCTATTAAGGCCCTTGGCATTAGCAGTTTTGCCTTTTCCTGTCCCATATCTTTTATAAAAATCATCCTTAATCCGCTCCAAGAAAGCAATGGGAAGTTCCCTTCCAGCTGATTCAACCGCAACAACACAGTATGCTACAACGCACAATAAAAGTCTAATTAAAGTTATGCATGACGTGACATGAAGACGTTGTACTGTATTGGACTGAGACTCAGACTGGTACTGATATAATAGTACAAAAGTTGCAATTTTTTATCCCACCCAGAAATCGAACATAGTGGGATCCTCATCATAAAAAATAGCCTTAAAAAGCTTGTTAAATCATGTCATGTTTTGGCTTACCATGTTCCCTTTAACAAATTCAACTTGAAAGGACAAGCTAAATCAAGATTAGATTCACCGGGAATATAAAATGTAAAATGAAAGATTTCAACCGAATAATCAATGGGTAGTTTGTGAGGGACACTATTTATGCTATTTATCATGTGATATGGTTTTAAATGATTTTTTCCACATCACTTGTGATCCACATTTAAAATTCGTACCACTTCCGACAAACATTTAGATGTCTACAAACTAAAAAAAAAAAAATCTTTGAATGAAAAAACAAATAATCATATTGCAGTTACGAAATCCAAGAAAAGCTACAAATAGCGTTTTGTGAGTAGACTAAATTCACAAAATTAAAGATTGTATAATCGTTAAACTCTCACAAACACACATCGTTAAGGGTCGTTGATTGCTAATACAATCACGTATTCACATAACACAAACATTTTCCAAATACATAACCATGCAAACGATCCAATCGTGGTGATTGCTTTCAACAAACAAACATACGCATGTCATTATTTATGAAACAAATTCAAAAACCGATGAACAGAAAACACAGATCAAACCAAAACTCAAATCAAATTCACTTACTGTATCCTTGGTCGACGAGGTAATTGAAGGTGTGGCCATCGCAATTATACGTAAATCTATTGTTGGTGGAGGGGAGTTTCTGAAGACATTGGGCAGCGACGCTTTGAAAATTTCCGGTGAACTCGGTGTACTCAGCAAGGATCACGGTGCCTCTAGCTACAAGGCTATAGATTAGATTTCCAGGTTGTGGAGGCATCTTGTTGTTGTTGTTCTTCTTCTTCTTCTTCTACAAAATGAAATCAAGTGGAATCGAGAGTAAAGGAATTAAGGGTAAGTCTCCGGGAGAGTGTGATCGGAAAACGATGATGAAAGGAGAAGGGTTTGTGTGGATGGACGTGAAATTGTTTGTGAGAGGAAGAGAAATTGTAGGAAAATGTTAGAGAGGATCAGGCGGGTTCCTTTTGAATCCTTGACGTTTGCATCAAGGTCACTTGGTCGTTTTTCTTTTCCGAGTAAATAGAAGCATTTTCTTCTTTTACTATTTTTTTCGTTTACTTCAAAAAGTTTGCTATTTTAAGGCATGAAATTGAAATGTATTTTATATTAAGTATGTTTTAACTATAAAATAAGGAAGATATTCTTCCAGTTATATATTCTTTTATTTATAAAATATTTATTAGTTAATTGACAGTTATACCTTTTATTTAAATATATAGTGTATTTTAGATTTTAATTATGGTTCCTCACTATGCTCATACTTCTCATTCCTCCTTTGGTGCTGCAATCTTGAGCCATTTCGTCAATGTGATGTGAGGGGCTGAACTTCAACATTTGATTTGGGAGGCGGAAATATAATACGTATAAAAATCGGTGTACAGAGGGGAGCCATAGCCAAAATTTTATATTTTTAGGCTTAATATGTATACAATTAAAGTAAAGGGGCTATTTCTATCAAAAAATAAGAGGGGATTGGTGATGTGTGAACGAAATGACCAGCAACATGTTCCTATCAATTGTCATCTTTAAGGTTTACATTATCCCGGAAGACTCAGTTTGGCCCTTTAGAACCCATTGAACTACGCTCATAATTATGTGGTTATAACCATTTCAACGTATCCATAAACCTTAAATTTGCAGCAAAGTAAGTTGCGATTTTGTGTAATTTGCCCATTTATGCAACCGTAGTTACAATTAAAAATGATTTTTTTTTTTAATTTTTTTTAGTTTGGTGCATCATGTAAAAACATGAGAAATTGACTTAACCTTAATATCATAAATTATGGAATCGGGACAAAAGAATATAACTAAATTTAGACTCAACCATTTATTTAGCTTAATAAATTGTTCATAAATTTACCTTTATATAATTACGAAAGGGACAAAATACAAAAATCCCCCATTAATAGACATTTTAATGTTTCTTTGTAAATCTCCATACTTAATAAAAACCTCTCCTACATACCATATGACATTCTTTTAAGCCACCACTATGCCACGTGTCCCTACCATAAAAAATGTTTGACTAGTTTTCCGGTCCATGAATTGCTTTGATTGTCAATTAATCACCTTCTAAGATTAAGCAAATTAGTTTTAATATCCAAAATTAAACTTGATTGAAAAGAAGTTTTATATATTTAATGACCAAGAATTTTTGACGTTTGAATTGTTTATTAGCAAAGATATGAACCAGTTTCATTCCAATCCACTCATTTACGTTTGAATTGTTTATCAACGCTTAATATTTATCCAAGAAATCGGCGTTGTTGATCTCCCTTCTTCAATAAGGGCTATATCAGACAAAAATTGATACAAATCCAAACAAAAGCAAGATGTAAATGAAAATATAGGGACGAGTCATGATTGTGAGTAATTTACACTTTCAAAGCAACCCCATTAGTTTTGAAGAACCCGATTTTGAATGCTATATTCATCAGTTTTTGTATATATATATATATATATATATATATATATATATATATATATATATATATGACGTTAGTCTGTTACAATTTAATTTTATCTGTTCTATTTCCATTTCCCCATAATTTTTCTCTGTTTGTTTTGCCCTATCTCCCAATTATTGGATTAGTGTCTAAGTCCATAACTATTTTGGTATGTACTTGACCCGATGGTGCATGGTTCTTTTGAGTTGCCTTCACCAAAGCAACTTGATTGGAGAAATAAATAGAGAGAGAGGTTATTATGATTTATTAATATCTTATAAGAATAATATATTAAAGGAGAAATCATATTTGTTTAATTAATATTGGTCAATAATTAATTAGGAATTAATTTTGTGATCAAGTGTAATTAATTAAACTAGAGGGGCTGAATTGTAATTATGTGATAGTTACAAATTAAGGTAAGGATTATCCTAAGTATAGGATGGACGAATCTAGGGTGATAAGGCCTTAGAATTCGACTAGGATAAGGGTTTCTAAGACTTATCTTATGGTTACTTGGTGGGCAAGCAACTAGATAAGGATAAGGACTAAAACCCTAATCTTTACACCTATATAAACCCCCTAAGGCTCATGAATTCGTGTATCCCTTCCCAAGAGGTCCTAGAGACGAATTCTTATACCTCTCCTCTCTCTTTATAACTTCTCCATTTGCTCTTGGTGTTTGTAAGCCATTAGAGGAGTGACACTTGTGACTCTAAGTCTTTCAAAGTCAATTCAAGGAGGAATTAGGATTGTTATTGCTACATAACAATCAAGGTAATATCTTAAACCTAATTATATGTTAATATCGATTTCCATATGCTAGAATTAGGGTTTGTAGTCTTGGATTCAAAGCATGTACAATAGAGAAACCTAGATCCAAGCATTAGGATTTGTATGAGCACATATGATGTCTTATGACCAAAACCCATCAGTGGTATCAGAGCCTAGCTTGTTTTCAATTGTATTGATGCATTGTATAACTGGAAAATTCGTTTTTTTGGTGTTTTGGAGGCTGGACTCGCCGAGTCCATAGTTGAACTCGCCGAGTCCATGCAGACTCGACGAGTCCAAGCCTGACTTGACGAGTCAACTCGTCAGATTGAGGGTATCTCGGGTTTTCTTGCTGTTTTTGCTTATGGATAGTTACCTTATCATGTTAGATCAATATTAATCCGATTATATGATATATTTGACTATAATTTTGATCCAATTGAAGATATTTATCAACCAATAAGATAATTGTTTCCTTATGTGATAATTGATTAATTATTTTGAGTAAATTGATAAATTGTTTTGCAAGAAATCATTAAATAAATCATAATATGGATAATTATGTGATTAAATGTTAATTTGAATTATTTGTTATTTGATCCTTGTTGTTATGAAAAGTTTCATACTTTTCCCTTTAGGTTTTATAGTTTAAATTTGAACCCAAAAGTTTTGAAGTTTTGAAATTTCAATAGTTAAAACCCTAATGTTTTGAAAAAGGTTTCAAAACTTGCCCTCAAGTTTTGGAATTTAAAAATTGATTAAAAGTTTAATTAGGAATGTTAAATTCTAAAACCCTAGTAATGTTATGAAAAGTTCAAATCACACCCTTATGATTTTATTAATTAATTAAGGTGTATAATTAAAATAAGTTTAATAAATCCATAAAAGTTTAGGTTTACAATTTAATTGAATTAAAAGTATAATTGTTAAATTTGATCACCTAATATTTTAAAAGTGTAAAATGCACCCTATACTATATACAACATTAAAAGTCTAACATTATATATATATATATATATATATATATATATATATATATATATATATATATATATATATATGTATGTATGAGTAGAAGTCAGTCTTACCGTTAGTAGGCCTCATTCACGAAGATGATCTATAAGGGGTGTTTAAGGAAATTGCCTATAAAATGGCGATTGAATGAGTATCCACTCTTACCCCCCGCACTCTCGACTAGTGGAGGGTTGTTAGCCGAACGGGTAGGATAGGACGAAACCTTCCATTATAAGTATAATGAAATATAAAGTAACTAAATGTTTTTCAAATTCCCAATCTTAGTTACTTAGGCAAAAGTGAATTGATGCAATTCCATGAAATTACACTTTGTGCCCTTGCGAAGACGTTAGTGGAGCGTGTGTGGTTTACTGACACACTAAATGGTTCTAAGCAAAGGTAGCAAAGGGTGACTCAATGTTTGTCATAGTTCGGTGGAGTGTGTGTGGTTTACCGGCACATCGAATAGGTGATTGTAACATGTGAGGGCACCATGTAAATTTGCATGGTTATTCACACCCGCTTTGTGATCCTCGGCATCCCAGTCACAAACAAGAGGGGCATATCGAGATTTAAACATGCCATTGAAATGTTCGATGAATCTCAAAGGATCTAGGAGTTTTCATAGATTTAAAACTTAAATTTCTTTTTCGTTTTTCATGGTGGAAATTAGTGAATCGTCATTCACTTACCTTCAAATATTCTGCAACTAGATTACGGCATCCCTTTTCTAGGTTGTAGCGTATTTTGTTGGGTCCTAGCCTTAGTATCTCATTTGGGTGATTTACTAAGGACTCAATCGATCAACTAACTTGAATTTGTTTTCTCCCGTTTTGTAGATGTCAAAGTTCGACAACTATGGTCTTCCCAAATCCCGTGGAACAAGAATTCCACATGAAGATGGTATTCCACGATTCGATCGAGGAACAAGAAATCATGCTTCACTTCCTCCACCCCCTCCAATTGTTCTCCTTAACCCAAAAGATCGAAGAATTGAAAGATTCAATATCACTAAGGCCTTATTGGAAATGAAACATGAAGATGATAAATCCGTGTGTGCCCACGTTCTAGGAATGAAATCACACATCGATAGGTTGATAATGTTGGGTGTGTCATTCCCCGATGAGTTGGCTGTGAACTGGTTTCTGCAGTCACTCCCTGAATCATATAATGAGTTCAAAAGAAAGTATTATATGATGGATCATGACGACAACCTTATTGACCTAACTTACATGCTCATTGCTGCTGAATCAGAAATGATTTGGCGAAGCAATGGAGCGTATTTGTTGGGAGAGTCAACCGACCATGCTTCCGAGGACGTTCTAAGAGAAACAACCTGTGTTTGCTGCCAAGAGAAAGGGTGTTGGATAGAAGTCTGCCCCAAGAGCCTGAAAAATTCCAAAGATGGGAGAGTCAAAGAGTATGACTGCGCTTCAGGTAAAATCCACTATCTAACTTCGTTAAGTTCCTATTCATTGATTCAAAATACATGATGTGATAAGATTGCATTGGAATGTTTTTGTAGGATCGGTGAAAAGAAAGGAAGTTTGGTGAAAGAGCAAGATGAATTTAATCACAAGAAATGGATCTTGATCGCATGGACTTGAAGATTAGATTTTGAGCTTAGATAGTTATGATAGAGTTATTAGAAATTTTCCTTTTGAAATACATAGTTTTCAATGGATTTTGCATTGTAAGGACAAATATTTTCCGTTGCTTTTATAAATAAAATAAATTTTGTTTGACTTATTTATTTGTTTGTTTATTTCCTTGCAATAAAATCGTTATGAAAATTGGTGTTTGCATATTTCTACAACAAATGGATATGATTCTTATTTATGGTGTTT